GCTGACCCCATCTCTGCATCGTTTTTTAATCAAGTCCTACCCTCCATTGGACCCTCTGTTCTTGACATTATAAACAGAAGATGGACACAGGTGTAGTTCCTGATGCTTTTAAACATGCAGTGGTAACTCCTTTAATAAAAAAAACCCGGACTTGACCCTTCAACCTGCTCAAACTTCAGACCCATCTCCAAACTGCCCTTTCTTTCTAAGATCCTAGAGAAAATAGTTTTCACTCAATTAAACGAGTTCTTGAGTGGAAATTCTATTCTTGAGATCTTTCAGTCTGGCTTTAAGAAACTACACAGCACCGAAACAGCCTTAGTTTGGGTCTGCAATGACATTCTTCTGGCAAATGACTCTGGTCAGTCTGTAGTCCTGGTACTCCTTGACCTTACCGCTGCATTTGATACTGTGGACCACAGTATTCTTTTATCTTGGCTAGAACACTGGGTTGGGATTACTGGTGCAGCGTTAGAATGGTTCCATTCATATCTGAGCGACAGGAGTTTCTGTGTTAATTTTGGTAACACTCTATCTACTTCAGTGCCTCTTTCCTGCGGGGTCCCACAAGGCTCCATTCTTGGACCCCTTCTGTTTTCTTTGCATCTTCTCCCATTAGGGTCTTTCCTGAGGAAACATGGTATTTCCTTTCATTGTTATGCTGATGACTCTCAGATTTATCTGCCGTTAACACCTAACAGTTCCTCCTCCATTCGCCCTTTGTTAAAATGTCTTATTAACATCAAGACTTGGATGGCTGCAAACTTTTTGAATTTTAATGATCAGAAGACTGAGGTCATTGTGTTTAACCCTAGCTCTGCCACTGTCACTGATCCTGCAAACCTGGACTCCCTTCAGCCATATCTTAAACAGTCTGTTACCAATCTCAGGATAGTTTTAGACTCTGACTTTAAGTTTAATAAGCAGATAAATTCTGTTCTTCAAAAAAGCTTCTTTCAGCTAAGGCAGATAGCTAAGCTCAAGTCAGTCCTGTCCAGATCCGACCTTGAAAAATTAGTCCATGCATTTATTACAACCCGGCTGGACTATTGTAACTCACTTTATGCTGGGGTCAGTCAGGTCTCTCTCTCACGTCTCCAGCTTGTCCAAAATGTTGCAGCTCGGCTACTAACAGGAACTTGCAGGTTTGAGCACATTACTCCAGTTCTGTCCTCCCTTCACTGGCTTCCTGTGCATGTCAGAGTTGATTTTAAGATTCTTCTGCTGACATTTAAGTGTGTTAATGGCCTTGCACCCTCATACCTCTCAGACATCCTTCATCCTTATACTCCTTCTCGGGCCTTGAGATCATCAGACCAGCTGCTTTTGGCCGTACCAAAAACCAGGCTGAAGCTCAGAGGAGATGAGGCGTTTTCTGTCATGGGCCCTAAACTCTGGAACAATCTGGAACATTCGACAGGCCACCTCAGTCTTTACTTTTAAATCTCTCCTCAAAACACATCTATACTCATTGGCATTTAACACAGTGTGATCTCATTTGGTATTTCGTTGTTGATGATTGTGTTCATCCATTTTGCTTACTCCCTGACATTTAACGCAGGGTGATTTAATTTAGCATTTCACTGTTTCTCATTATATTTAATGTTTATATGCTTTTATTCATGTTGCTGTAATAAATTATTAATATTTGATGCTGTGATCTTTTTTTGGTAAGCACTTTGATAACAGTTACAGTTTTAAATGTGCTATATAAATAAATGTGACTTGACTTGACTAT